GGATGTCTTGCAGTCCAATCTCTCAATGGCACTCGCATATGTGCAAGCCCAAGAATGGGTACTGAATGTTGCAAAGGCTATAATTAGAGATGGCCTACATGGATTAATTCCTGTAGAGGTACGACATGTGTTATGGAAAAATGCCACCCACTTTGAGCAGAAACATCAGAATGGTTAATTTCTCTTATGTGCACAGGAACCATACCATTATTGCCTATATCCTGACTTTGAAGGAAGCACAGGAGGAATGGATGTACCCATTAGTGCCCTTAGGTCTAAATGTTAATCACTCTGTATTGCTCCCAGTGGAACTCAGCAAATGGGTCCATCAGAAGGATAGTGAATACCATGCTGTTAACCTGCAATCATGCATTAAGGAAAAGGGGCTGGGATATACATGTAGCTCAGAAGTCATCGAGATTTCTCATGTATCTCTTAATTCAAAGGAGGGTAAATGCCATTATAAAATGCATCTGTCTGATTTTAATCATTCCACTATGGTGTTAGTGGATGACAATAGTATTTGTATTCGCAACTGGGGCCGTGAATTCATTGTTAATGTTTACCACAAAATTCCCCACAACCCATTCATAAACATCTGTCTATTTTCAATATTTCCCATAGTGGGATGTGACGTGAATTTCACTCTACCCAAAGTAACCATGCAAACCATACAGACACATTGCCTCCTATATGAACATCTTGAACCATTTCACTTAGGAGTGAATATATCAGCCTTAAAACATATGCACCATCCAGAAATGAAATACCACTTAAGACAAATTCAAAGGGAAGGAAAAGAGGTCATGTTTGCGGTACATCATGCCTCAGACCAAAACAAACGAGTTCTTAAAAGAATTCAGAAGTGATACTGCATCAAATCACTGGTGGGAAAACCTATCTGGAGGGTCTGTTGATTATAATGAAGTATGGCATATATTATTGCACCCTGTTGTAGTGGTTTTGATTGTTAAAATGGTCATTATTATATACACCTCTACCCCGATATAATGCGAGCCGATATAACACAAATTGGGATATAACGCGGTAAAGCAGAGCTCCAGGGGAGGGGGTGGGGCTGCGCACTCTGGCGGATCAAAGCAAGTTCGATATAACGCGGTTTCACCTATAATGCGGTAAAAATTTTTGGCTCCCGAGGACAGCGTTATATCGGGATAGAGGTGTATCTGGTATGTTTAACTGTCTGGATTAAGAAACGAGTGAAGTCCAACAAATTCATTGTTCCATTTAAGTTGGTATAAATGTCATTATGTATGAAATCAGAGTGGTTGGGTTGTGACAGCAAAGAGGGTGTATCTCCTCTTACCATCAAGGAGGGGAAATGTAGCATTTATTAGAGTTTATGTATTGTTCTGATTTATATTCTGTGCTTTTTATGTACTGTTTTGTGAAACTTATGGGTCAATGGTCATGGTCAAGTTGCTGTTTGGACTCCATTTTATGGGTCCTTTTGGTTGAGATTTTGAGACCTTTTCTCCCAATGGCGGGAAGAAAAGTACGGGAAAAGGTCACATGCCCAAGTCTATTTAAGGCCAGCACGTTCAGCACCAGGGGCTGTCCACCAGGGCAGCCCATGCCTAGTTCTTCCACGCATGAGAGAGAGACCCCGCGATGGTCTTCAGGTAGGTATCCCGATCCAGCTTCAGTCTGTGTCTCTCTTGTAATCCCATCTAAGGCAGTTACAGGTCCAGAATCCAGCAACCACCGCAGCAATCCGCAGTCATGACCAGCTGTCTGCCTTTCAGTCCGAGTTGCCAGTGACAGTCATCTCCTGCAAATAAATGAGTTCCCATAGCTTGCTAAGGGCAGAAGGGAGCCAGGCCTTATGCCCTTTTGGGTCAAACCTCTGAGCTATTATTCTGTTGCCTTTGTTAATTTGTTTAATTTTAATAAATCTTAGTAAATCTATCTTTACACTGGGTTTTTTTTACTTACCTCATGGGTTTTAAAAAGTGATAGAGATATTATCTGGGTCTGAACTTTAGTCTTATTTATCTCTTACAGAGTTTTAAGATAACACCAGGATGCTGGGTTCCTAAATTTGCCCAACTATTTGTATCTTCTTTCATTATATCACTTCCATGTCTATTTGCTTTTGGTCCTGTGGGAGCATATATCAAATCTCCATGGTGACTGCCACCAGAGTACAGATTTCCTCTCTGGTTTTAACACATCCAGAATGACATCCATCTGGTCCCGTAAGACACAACATTTGGCAACTGTAAACATGATCTAACATTTTTTTTAGAGCTTCCCCTGCCCTTCCTTGTACCAGTACATTCAGGACACATGTAGTGGTTTGGACACTCCTATCACCTTTTTATTTAATCTGGTGATATTCTAAGAGAAAGCTATATCCAGATCAGTAGCATTCAAAGCAGTCAAAGAAGAAGGTGACCAGTAGAATCTTTCTTGTTTATTATAGCTTAAAACTTGAAACAACAAAAATCTTTGACTCAAAAACAAGGAAATAAAGGACATAGATAGTCTAAGTAACCCTGTGTTCGTATCATTGTTACTCTTGCCCTTCTTTGTTCCACCTACTTGTTGCAGTTTGTTTTAGACTGTAATCTTTGGGGGCAGGGACAGGCTTTTCCTATGTATTTATACAACACCCAATGTTGCCATCCTAGTAATGGAAGAACCTGAGCGCAGCTGTAATGATAATAAATAACAAGAAGAAGAACAAGGAGTCATGTAGTCATCAGAGAGAAATGCTGAGAACCAAAACTATGAGACCTTGATATCAGAGGATCCTTCAAGATGAAAGGCAGTTTAAAGTCAATGGGATGTTTTCATTTGGGGGAAACACCACCTTAATCAGACCTACTCCCAGTGCCCCATGTTGGGATGGGCTCAGGGGCTAAGTTTGGCTGAGTGAAGTCTCTCCCCTAATTAAAGCACTTCTGACTGGGGTCTCTTCCCCAAAGAGAGGCAGTGGGGATAGTTCTGACTGTTGGAGATTCCCCAGAAAGAGACAGTGATAACAGGTCAGATGGTGTGTACGTGTGTTCCCTACTGACAGGCACCGAGAGTGGGTCTGACTGAAGTGTATACGTCTTCCTCCACTGAGGGGCACTGCGGCATAGGGTGACCATCCATCCCCTTATTTTAAGGAACTGGTCCTTATTTAATTGATTTGTTCCTTTTCAGGGAAATCCCTTGACTTGATTTTAAGGGACATCCCTTGACCATTTTAAACATTATATTGAAGCTTATGATAATTGTATTGTATACTTGAAGGCAGTACGAATGTACACTTCAGAGAAAAATACATGCTATGCTGAGGAAAATGGTGTTTCCCTAAAATGTCCCTTAAAATTAAGCGTTGTCCCGTATGTTTCATGTGATTTCTCCCTATTTCTATCCAACAAAGGTGGTCACCCTCTTGGGGCAGCTCTGATGGTAATCTCCCCCAAGGAGAGGCACCCAGGTCAGGTCTGAAAGGGGAGGCATGTCTCCCCACAATAAGGGGAACTGGGGCAGTTATGACAAGAGAGGGGAGTCCCCCCAGTGAGGGGTCTAGGGGCAGGTCTGACAGGGGAGGGGAGTTCCCCCAGTGAGGGGCGCTGGGGCAGGTCTGACAGGGGAGGGGAGTTCCCCCAGTGAGGGGCGCTGGGGCAGGTCTGACAGGGGAGGGGAGTCCCCCCAGTAGTGAGGGGTCTGGGGGCAGGTCTGACAGGGAGGGAGTCCCCCAATGAGGGGTCTGGGGGCAGGTCTGACAGGGGAGGGAGTTCCCCCAGTGAGTGGCGGTGGGGCAGGTCTGACAGGGGTGGGGAGTCCCTCAATGAGGGGTCTGGGGGCAGGTCTGACAGGGGAGGGGAGTCCCCCCAGTGAGGGGTCTAGGGGCAGGTCTGACAGGGGAGGGGAGTTCCCCCAGTGAGGGGTATGGGGGCAGGTCTGACGGGGTGGGGGGGTCCCCCAGTGAGGGGCGGTGGGGCAGGTCTGACGGGGTGGGGGGTCCCCCACTGAGGGGCGGTGGGGCAGGTCTGACGGGGTGGGGGTCCCCCAGTGAGGGGCGGTGGGGCAGGTCTGAC